ACTGAGTAGTTTTGAAAAAAATCACACATATTTTACATAGATAAAGCCCTTCACAGGGTGTGGGTTGTACTTGTGAGTACAATTTTTTGTATTTCTTTAAAGGCATGGGTTACCAGGAATTCCTTCAATGAGTCTATTGGAATTTTTTCCAATCAATCTGAGGGCCCCAACTATAACTAGAATTGTTATGTCCTCATGCGCCACACTTTGGAGATTTCCACTTCAAGATCCATGTATTTTGATAGTTTTTGAAAGATCTTCAAAGATACATAGCAGTCTGCAGGGACTGCAATGTCAATAAGGAAGAACATTTTGTCTTTGTGGTCTCTAATCACGATGTCAGGGCGATTAGCTTTGATTGTTCTGTCCCATAAAATTGTTACAGATCCTATTTCCATAACCGCGTCTGGGTGGTGTTCATACTAATTTTTTGCAGTTTCATTTCCATAAGTGTTACAGATTTACCAATGCAGCTATTGGCTCACTTTGTCATGCAATGTTTTATATTCAGTGGGTACCAATAATGTGCAACCTGATACAAGATGATCAATTGTTTCTGGATATTTATCACAGAATCTGCATTTTGGACTAACATAATTTTTCAGTATGCGTGCTTGAAATTTCTAGTTAGCAAGCATTGGTCATGTGCAGCAAGAATAAAACCTTTGCACTATGTAGCCACTGATGGGTATGAGGTTTGTCAACATCAGCTTCTTTGGTATGGGCAGATTATTGGCCATGAAGTAATTTATCTTGCCATCATTTCTGTATCTGGTCGGTTGCATTTGCTTTTGCTTTCTCTTTTAAGTATTTTGCAGCTTCAGTTGGTATTTTGTGCTTTACTCATATTTCTTCACCCATTTGAAACCCTATTTTGAACTTGTTGGCTTCTTTTATTACTGAATTATTATTATTATTATTATTATTATTATTATTATTATTTAATTTAAAGCTTATATGTATATAAAATTAATATAAATTTTTTCAAGTATAAAAATTATGACATTTTATATACAAAAGTTTGTTTCTCTGTCCATAACCTCAGTTACATGAAAACAAACAGATATATAAAAGTAATGAGTAAACCTTAGCCTGACTGAAATGTTTGACCTGGAAGCAAGCAAATGAAGGTCATATTGATTTTTGCCAGTGTTCTACTGCTTGAGCAGCTCATAGTGAATGCTGGACAATCTCCTCACAGATAAAGATGAGACTTGAAGCAACAAAAATGTGGTTCTACAGAAGGATGCTGAGGATGTCATGGGCCAAACATGTGAGCAACAACAAAGTTTTAGAGAAAAAGAAAACAAAAAGGTCACTTATACTTAATATCAGGATGAGGGAGGTGAAATTTCTAGGGAACATAAGAAAGAAAGAAGGCTTGGAAAATTTCATACTCATGAGTCAGATTGAAGGCAAAAGACAGAAGAAAATAATATATAATCGACATAGTGAACTTGAGTAAATGGATGACAGAACAAGGTTTAGGACAAAATTTATTAAGATCTACAAAGGACAGGAAATTATGGAGAGCCATGATTGCTACATGATGAAGAAGAAGAAGCAAATATTAAGTTAGGTAGAGTACACAAATACCACACTGATCCTAGGTAGTGGGAAAGAGAGTGTCACGTTGATCATTGGCAGAGGTGTCAATCTATGCATAAATAATTTTACAATTTTTGACAACTACTATTCTAGTATCTGTGCTTTTTCCTTCTTATGCAACATTTTAACATATTTACTGAATATAAGTCAACTTCTAAAATTCAGACTTTGAATTTTAAAGGTTGGCTATTAATGCTTCAAACAGGGAGAAAAAATCAAGCATGCTATCACAAAAACTCTACCTCCAGCAAATAATGGCACATTCTGTCCTCTAGCAAACCAATTAATGGTAGACAATGGTAGACAAATGAAACTTACATTTTGATTCTGCTGACAATATTATATGCCACATATTGTTAGCATTATGATTTTCAAAAGCAAGAATGATAAATATAAAATCTTCAGTTATTGATGTAGCACATTCATCGTATACAATGCTGTGCAAAAGTAAGTGGACCCCTGAGATAATATTTACAATAATTGTCTTTTTTTTTTTTAGATAATCAACAAATCTTAAACTATACATTTATTAAGAAAAATCTTTATTAAATGTATTAAAGCCACTTTCAAAGATTTTTATCAAGCTGGAATGAAAATATTAATTTAAAATTAAGATGTGCAAAAGTAACTGAACCCTTACATTTACACTCTGTATTTTTGTTTTACATAGTTGCCTGTGCAAATAATTTTTTATGCACATGTAAAAATCAAAATGACAGGTGTTCATTTTTTTTGTTAAGCTGTGTATACTGCAGTCAAACAGTATAACTCATTGTGCATGCATAAGTGTGCAGTTAGAGAATAAATTAAAATTTAAAAAATATATATGCAAAGATCAAAAGAACTTCCTGAAGCTTTAAAAAATTGCATAGTTGAAACCTATAATGATGGAGAAGGCTATAAAAATCTATCAAAACAATTTGGAGTGAACTTCTCCACTATGCAATAAATTATTTATAAATGAAAGGTCTTTGGTACGATGGCATCACAATCAAGAAGTGACTGTCCATGAAAAATATCAGCAGGAACAAGTAGATGTGTAATTCAGCAAGCCCAGGCAAATCCTGCTATGACCTTTGTGGTTCTCTAATGCTCAGTAACCAACGTTGGAATCATTGTGCTGACATCTACAGTGTGACAAAATATTTACAATGCCAATCTTCATGACAGAATGCCTAGAAAAAGCTACTACTTATGAAATAGCACAAACATTCTTGCCTCAACTATGCCAAAGCTCATATTAATAAACTAGAAACATTCTGGCAAAATGTTTTATTGTCAGATGAGACCAAACTAAAGCTTTTTGAGAGGAACAATAGGTGGTATATCTGGTGAGCTCCTAATATGATTTTTGAAGAGAAGAATTTGATACCAACCCTTAAACATGGTGGTGACATCATTATGATCTGTGGGTACTTTGCTGCAGCTGGAAGAGGTGAAATAATACACATTGATGGCACAATGGACTCTGCAAGATACCAAACAATCTTGAATGAAAGTGTATTGCCTTCAGTTCAAAAGTTGGGTTACGGTCAGGGCTGGAACTTCCATGACAACAATGATCTGAAGCAACAAAACAAGTCTACAAAAGAATGGTTTTGTTTAAAGAAATTTCAAGTCTTGGAGTGGCCTAATCAAAGTCCTGATCTAAATCCAAATGAAAATCTTTGATTCAAGTGAAAGAAGGCAGTGCATTTAAGAAACCCAGGTAAAATCAAGCAATGATGAGAGTTTTGCCAAGAAGAATGGTCAAAAATCACTAGTGCAAGAAATTTCTTAAAAATTATAGAAAAAGACTGGTTGACATTGTAATCTCAAAAAGGGCAGTCACCAAATATTAAATGTAAGGGTTCAATTACTTTTGTACATCTTAATCCTTAATTAATATTTTTATTCCAGCTTGATGACATGTTTTGAAAGTGGTTGTAATTGATTTAATAAAGGTTTTTCTTAATTAATATATAGTTTAAGATTTGTTGATCATCTGGAGAAAAGAGACAATTATTTAAATATTATCTTAGGAGTTCAAAAACTTTTCCACAGCATTGTATATATGTCATAATAAATTTAGCATTATGTTTAGGTAAGGGCAGACTTCAAAAGCGTCTTCTTTTTCTTCTTCTTCTCCTTCTACTTCTTCTTCTTCTTCTATGCATCATGGCTCTTCATTTTGTAGCACTGAAATAAAAATATTAATTAAAAAATAAAAATTATGATGTGCAAAAGTAAGTGAACCCTTACATTTACTCAGCATTGCAAGACTATCATTATTCTCTCACTATTTTCATGGCAAATATTGAGATAAGATCCATTCTTTAGTGATACCACCTCAGACCTTTACAAATATGACAGCATTGCTGAGCTGTGATACACTCTGTGACCAACCACTCTAAAGGATGCCAGATCAAATGGTGATTTCTCCTCTTAAATTCCACTAGAGAGTATATTTTCTGTTAAGATTTCTTGAGTACGCAAGCTGATAAATAATGTTTGAACCAAGTAATAAAGGTATATATATATATATATATATATATATATATATATATATATATATATATATATATATATATATATATATATAATACATGTTTTTGAAAATATTCTACATATTTGTATAAAAGTCATTTAGATACATGACACTTGTGACCTTGTACCATGTTATGCTATGTTTCATATCAGTTGGATACCTTTCTTTTGTTAGTTGGCCTCACAGTCCATTACAGCTGTAACAATTTCAGTTCTTGTTAAATGTTCCATATTTATGGTGCTGTGCCAACCTACGCTAAATTTAGTCAATATTGATTGTACACAATAAATAAATGTTTATTTATGTATGTATTCTTTGTGTTGGTGGAGATGCCATATGTGCCTGTTGTGACTTTCTTTTTTAGTTTTATTGTAGTTTCTTTCTTGTAACTATTGTTCTTAGTAAAGCATTCCACCACTAAGTTTTCAGGTGTAGTATGGGGTTGTTAGAAAAATGTCCAAGGGCCTATGTCCAATATGACCAAGATGGCAGACATATTCATGTGGGAACGATAAAAAAATAGAAAGAAAATGAAAAACAACATCATCCAAGCATTCTTTTTTTATATCTCTTGAAAAAATCTCTTCATTTTAAATCACCAACCAGTGTCTCAAGGAAATGAAAGACAGACAAGGAAAAATTGTTTTTCTTTAATGTATGCTTTGTTTGTTTCTTTCACTTCATATATTCTTTCTTGCTTTTTTCCCTTCATTTATAAATTCTTTATTTTCCTTCCTGTTTTCTTCCTTTCATTGTTAGCAATTTTATTTTTTTTCTTTCTTCATGATTTCCTTTAATTACCGAATTTCATTCATTTTTTTTTTTAATTCTTTCTCTCTTTTCTTCATGTCATAGGCTTTCCTAAATGTTTTCATTTTATTTCTTGCTTTTTCTATTTCTAATTCATTCCTTCTTCATTGGGAATTTTTCTTTTCATTTCAATTTCATCTTTTTCATTAACCCATTTTTCCATTTTTTTCTATTTTTTCTCTCTTTTTTTTCTTTGTCTTATTTTCTTTTTTTTTTACTTTTATTCATCTTTTATCATTTCACTTCTAATGTATCCATTTTATATCACTTGCTTTCTTTTCTTCATTCTTCATTTCACTCATATTTATTTTTCTCCTTCCTTTTTCTTTTTACCATTAATTTTCTTCATTTAACTTTTCCATTTTTATTCTTTCTAGAGTCTCTCAATTTATGCCAATACAGTCTCTCTATTCTTTTTTCTGCTTCCTTTATATTTCCTTTATACTTCTTATCTTTTCCTGGCTTCATTTCTTAATTCTAGTTGCCTTTCTTCCAAATTCTTTTTAGTCTTTTTTTTTTCTTAATTTATTTTCCTAACAGATTGATCCATTTGTTTTCTTTCTCTCTCATTTCTCTTTACTCAGCTCATTCTTGCTTTCTTTTTCATTTGTTACTTCTCTTGCTTTCATTTTCTTTCCCTTTTTTAATTTTCCACTCAAATCAACTTGTATCTATTGTATTTATTATCTATTTTGTATTGTTTCATTTTTATATTTTTCAATGTTTTTTTTAATTTTTTCTAAATATATTTTTTACTTATTCCTTCGTTCCTTATAAATAGCTGTGTTCTTTCTATTCTGCCTTCATTTATTTCATTCTTCTTTATTTTAGCTTTATTTTTTTTCCTTTTTCATTTTTTCATTTTTATGTATGCCTAATTTTATTTTTCTTTCCATTTTTTTTAATATTTTCTTCTTTTTTTCATTCATATAATTTGCTGTTATCTTTCAATCCTCTAATAGTTTTCATTCTTACTTTCTCTTTCTTTTTTTCTTTTTTTCTGACTCCATCTTAGATTGAACCTTTCTTCGTTCTCTTTGTCATTCTCTACTATTTTTGTTGTTCTTTCTTCTAAGAAAAAAAAAGAAAAGAAAAACAAAGGCTGATTAAAGAATAAAAAAAAAGTGTCAAGACACACAGAAACAAAATGGAATTAGGTTTTATTTATTTTGGGGATGAGTTCCAGAGTAGGGAACATTGATGGAGTTGTAATCGAAATCAACAAAATGTGTTTGTTTTGAATCATGCTCCACATAGCCATGAGTAAAACAGTAATGCAGCCAGAGCCACTCTTACAGTGTGACGATTATCAGTGATGTCATGTGTTAAATAGCTTCAAGGCAAGGCAATCTCTCATGACGTTTTTCTTCTTACAGATTGAACTAGGCTTTACTTGATTCATTTTTAAACACATCCATATATATATATATATATATATATATATATATATATATATATATAAAGAGAGAGAGAGAGAAAGAAAGTTAAACAGTGTGGACATAGAAATTAACACTGCATGGTTATATATGTGGATATGTATATATATATATATATATATATATATATATATATATATTGTACATTCAATTAGTGTGGACACAGAAATAAACGCTGCATGGTTATATATATATATATATATATATATATATATATATATATATATATATATATATGTGTGTATATATATATATATATATAAATGTTCTTTAAGGCAAATGTTATTAAAGGCAAAAAAGATGAAACAGCAATAAAAAATATCATAAATAGACAAATAAAACCAGTCAATAAAAACAAACCCAGATTATTTATTACAAAAAATTCAAAATTAGCAATGTAGTTATTAAAATTAATATATTACAAACTTCCAACCCCCTGTTTCAGAACAATTTTGTGTATGAATGCACTTGCCCACTTGGAGAATGTTTCTCTGTAAATAAAAAACACAAAATGTCTTACATAGAATATATCTCAACCTCACTCTCATGGGGACTCATCTGCCACCTATGGAACCACCTATGGAACCATAGTGTCATCAGACAACACATTAATAAGCAGCATAGAGGTGACATCAACATTAGAGAGCTACTCACAAACAATATCAAAATACTAACAAAATCAAAAAGTAAAAACAGACTTGGGATCCTTGAAGCCATATTCATGCTACAAAAACAACCATCTATGAATAAAAACAATTATATTTTATGAGCCCACATCCTCAAAAGCATATACATAAAAAGAAAAATAAATACAAATAAAAAAACAGTGCATTTCATTTGCATTTGCAAAAAACTTCACAACTATCAATTACATTAATGTTTTGTCTGATCAATTCACCCCTGAAGATGATCTTGGATGAGATTGAAAGTACTTGTGAAAATAAAAGAAATGAAAAAAACTATGGTGCCTTCCTTAATGAATTTAATAACAACATTAAGAAGTTGATCTGAGAATTTGAAAGGATTAAAATAAAGATAAATAGACAACACATACATAAATTATATAACTGTTGTGTAGGAAACCTACCACCCCTCTTGAAGATGAACTTGTCTACAAAAAAAGATGTTAAATAGTGGCATGTCAAAAGACAGACAGAGTCGGAGAAGTTCTTGGCTGAGTTAGTTATAGACTACTCAGGTGATTTCTGTACCTACTTACCAACCGAATAAGCCCCTTTTTATTGTTACGTGTTATTTGGCGTTTGTCTTTATTAACCCCAAATCAACATCATAACAATAACCAAACATGGTTCAATGAATATATGCTGCCTAAATATAGATATGCATTTGTGTCCACACATGTGTGCATGTGTGTGTGTTTGTGTGTGGGTCAGTGAGTTATGAAGGAATTTGTTAAAGATGTAATAAGAGGGTGCTAAAATGTCACAAAATGTTTAAGAAACCTTTCAAAAGAAATATGTTTGGTCATTTCATCAGATTCTAGGAGGTAGGTTGGTACAAAAACCATTCATGAAACCATTCCTTAATGACATTTTACTTGTAGGCCAATCTTTCTAACTATTACTGCTTCTTTCAAAATTTTGTTTTAATTCAAGTGTTCATAATAATATTTTCTGAATTATGTCCTTTAAAAAAAAATTGAAAAACTGAAATAAATAATATAATATAATGATTTCTGAATTAAAATTTTTTAATAAAATAAAAGTTTAATTCATATTAGCAGATCATTTGACACCAACTCAAAGACTAAAAACAGAACATCATATATTAACATGCTTTTATTGGCTCTTGTGGTTATCCCTGATTCGACAAGTATGAACAAACAAGATGGTAAATTTATACTTGCTATCTTTCACATGTGTGGATGAAAATCTGTCCAAAAAGTCACACTGGTTTTGAAAAGGGTCTCTTAAGAAAAAGAAATTCTTCTCTTAGACTAGATTTTAAGAAAAGTTATTTAAATTTGTTTTTGATGTGCCTTTATGTGATCATGAAAATCCACATTTTTCACTCACTGTTTGACATCTACCCTGCCTCACACACGGTCAAAGGCTCCGAAGGATAATGGGATGTAAGGTGGTAAATAATTCCACTTTATAATTGGTGTAGAACTACCAAAAGCTGACTTTTCGTTTTGAAGAGACAGCACTCTAATGTCTCTATTTAAACTCTGAAATTTTATTTACTATTTCTTTCTTTTTTTTCCTCAAAAGGAGTAGATATGTTTACCTATCATCCAGTTAACTCTCCTCTCCAGTCTTTTGAACAGGTAGTATAAGTTTATCCTTTGTTTACTGTTTAGGATTGGATTTCCAGTTCATTCTAAAATTTACTTCAACTCTCTACTTCTAACATCTCTACCTAAACTCTGAAATTTTATTTTCTGTTTATTTTTCTTCAATTGGAGTAGATTGGTTCATCTATCATTCAGTTCATACTCCACTTTGGTTTTTTGAACAAGAGTAAAGGTTTATCATTTGTTTTCTGTCTAGGATTGGGTTTCAGGTTCTTTCTAAAATCTTTTCCTTCCCTTCCATTCCCAGTAGCTCCTTAAATCTTAGTGGCATTATTGCCTAGATTGGGATTAAAAAAATAAATACATCATCCACAACACAATTTCTTAAAATCCTTGCTATAATATCATTCCATAAATAAAATCTTGAATATCATTCCATGAATAAAATCATCTATATCATTCCATGAATAAAATCATCTATATCATTCCATGAATAAAAAAAGAAAATATATAATCAAAAAGATTTTGCTCCAAAAGAAGCTAGATAACCAATCAGACAACATACTGCAGAGGGATCATGGCTGCCATGATCAAAGCCACATCTTTTATATTTGGTAAAATAATGTGATTACATGAAAACCCAGGCTTACCATTAATCATGTGGCTAAATATAATAATATAACCAAGTAACTTCATATCATGCTGATAAGGTTTTGATCATGGATTGTAACCAGTAAGCATTCTCCTAAAAACAAATAGTAAAAAGGATAATTTGTGCAGGGTATTTTGTTCAGAGGCTCTCTCTACTATTTTGAGTGCTAAGCAGTTCAATATGTGGGATGGAGAGTGACTGTTGCAAACCATACTGTTAGAATTGGTTAGATAATTTGAAATGAGAGAACCTCACCCCTTACTTGACCCAGGCGACATTAAAATAATATTGCAATATTTTATGTTTCAAGCAATCAAGCAGACCATCTTACTTGGTAGCATATACCATTTTTTTCTGGACAACTATGAACCCAGAAGACAAATTACAAGTCAGGAATACTAGAATCAAGCAAGCACAGAAAATTAAATCTCTGGGAAATATTCTAACAGCGGATGGAAAGTGCAAGACTGAGATACGAAGATACATTCCAAAAGCTAAGCAGAGTATTAAGAGACAGAATAATTTATTTACAAACAAAGAAAAGAGTACTTTTAGTTGATATCAGTCTACCTGTATGGTAGCAAATGTTGAAAAATCTTCTCAAAGATGAAGAAGATACTTGAAGCAACAGAAATGTGGTTCTACAGAATGATGCTGAGAATACCATGGGCTGAACATATGAGTAACAATGGAAACTAAAAGGAAACTTATAATTAACATTAACAGTTGAAACTTCTGGGACAGGAAATGAGGAAGGAGGGTTTAAAAAATCTGATACTCATGGGACAGACTGAAGGCAAGAGGGATAGAGGAATGCAGCAAGTAACATACTTGATGGTTTGGGAGAGATAACAAAAAGGCAAGAGACAGAAAGATGTGGAAGGCCATGATCACCTCTGTCCTGAAGGGTCACAACACATAAAAGAAGATGTGAAATGCTTAAAATCTAACAGCTGTTAAACCTTGATAAAAAATTAGGTATTGATCATAATATTTAGAGATGTTCATCATAAAACTCTCATGAACTACAGGATTTCAGAGACATTCAGAATTGGCTTCTTTAATCACTTAGTACTTTTTCAATTTCTGCTTTATTTATGTGTTGTAGGTATCTCTATCTATAAAAGGCAGGATGTGTGTGTGTGTGTGTGTGTGACAAATGCACGGCTGCAATATTTGATAGATTTGCACCAAAATTTACATGCACATGCTCCAGGTTAGTGGGAAGGCCAAGACCAACTTTGCATTTCCCAACTCCCATTGACAGTGGAAATAATCAATTTTTTCATGCTTCTATGGCAGTTTTCATGTAGTTTGCAGCCATTTTCTACTGGCCAGAGTGAGAGCCAATAGCTGGCTGCCACGAATAGGCAGGAAGATTCTAATGGCCAGCATGAGAGCCAACAGCTGACTGACATGAATGTTAACTAGCATTCTAGCATGCAAAAAATATCAATAGCTGTATTCATCACAAGTGGGAAAAATTTAAATCTGCATGGTACTTTACTCCAGTTGGCTCATTCGCTTGCTTAAACTCAACATTGATTCTGATTCCGCAGAACTTGGTTGGGTGTGAAAAAGTATTTGTTGTTAAAATTCTTTTTTCATTTTGTTTTTCCAGTTACGAGTCCTTTTTTAAAGCTGATCGTTTTGTGTTCATTTTGTTTAGT